TGTAATTATACCTCACGTTTTGTTTGTTGTGTCCTAGACATGTTTTCATAACATTCACCCATCTACTGTACTGTAAGTCCTACTGTACAATTATCATGCATCAGAATCACAGAAGAATATGATAGACACTGGTAGCAGATTGAAATACATCTGTGATGCAGCAAAAAAGCGAGATAATATGTTGAAACGCAGCCCTGATGCGCCCTTCAGTCCGGATTCATGACAGGACGAATATTCCACGCGGGTCGGCTGGTGAGCGGGCGGAAAATCACCTGTTCATGCTGGATTTATGAGCGTTGTCTCGATCGCGCCTCTGTCTTGTCAAGTCTCACAGCAGCCAGTCATCCGTGACACACAAAACAGGCCGGACCTGAGAGCGAGGGAGATGAGAGACAGATACATAAATGAGGCCTTTCAGCAGCTCTGCATTATTTAAACATCCACTAAATATTCATCTGCCTTTAGACCAGAGGCCAGAAACATGCAGACTGAACCTGAACACCAACATATTACACACAAAGACAACATGACTTTTTGCAACATATTTTTTAAACAGTTTGCAACACATTTTTCTTAGATAATCGGCATACTTGTGTTGCATTATGAATTGTTTTCAGACACAATAAATTTGCAACCACACATTTAGGTACAACCAAAAGCAAGATTAAAAGTAATTTTAAGAAGATGATTTTAGTTATTAGGTTATTTTTTACTATCATTACAAAGCTATTATATGTTTTATATGATCTATAACAGGTAATATAATGAATTAGTTTTTGTTGATATTTTCTGTTATCATTTTAATTGTAGTTAAAGATTTAGTAATTTTGTTGTATTTTTTTTGTCATAGCTTTCATTAATTTATATATAAAATATAGGGTTGTTTTAACAGGTTTACTTTAATTATTAGGTTATTTTAGTATCGCTGAGATATTAAAGTTTTTTTTTTATAAATATGTTTTAATTTAAATTTAATTAAAGTTTGTTGCATACTTTTGTCATTTTTCTTATTTTCTTTTTTAATATGTCTAGTTTTAATTTATATATAAAATATATTAGGATTAATTTAACAGGGTTATTTCAGTTATGTTATTTTAGCATCACTTAGATACTATTATAGTTTTTATTAATATTTTGAATTTCTTTTTTTTATATTTTCTGTTTTTGTTTTAATGTTAGTTAAGGTTTTAGTAATTTTGAGTAATTTTGTCATTTTTCTTCGTTTTTGAATTATCTTTATAGTGTTCATTATGTTTTTGTTTTATTTTTAATACATCAAAATAAATTAAATAAAAAACAAAAATATGACAAATATGTTTTTTATTTTTTATTTTTATTTTTTAAGTTTGTTTTATTTCAACTAACTAACTAACTAAATAGTTTTAGTACACTATAAATTAACTGAATAACACTGAATATGCAAAATAATGAGGTAATGTGAAAACGTTTAAATAGTGAAACACACCACTTTCATAATACCATCAATTCTGTCCGTGTTGTCTATGTAGTGTACAGTTAAGTGTGTACTGTGTTGTTTTCTAGTGCGTCTCCGCAGCTGCAGGTGTCGCTGTTGAGTGACGTCACTCGTGCGTCGCGCGCCGGCCACTCGCGCGAAGAATAGAAACCAGCGAGTTTTGTTCACAAGCGTGTCGTGTTCGTACACTTTTATTATACAACAATCTGAATTTTTAAGCCTTTAAACCACACAGAAGTCGTCATGGATGTTGGGGAGCTGCTGAATTATCAGGTACCGACGCGTTTAATGTCTCTCCGTGACTTTATGTGGATGAATTTGTCATTGGTTGATCTATTCTGCTGCTAGTATTAACATTATCTTAAACTTTAATCGTTAGTGCAAAAATAAACCGCTTTTTGAATCGTTACAAATGATTTAGTTGTGTTTAAGGTTGTTGTAAGTAGGTAAAATCGCTGATTAATCTTTTACTGAATTAGCACAGACGCATGCGGGTTATTTAGGGTTTGTTTATATTTAAATACACTTTATTAGTTTAATGTATTATTCATTGCATTAATTTAAATGCCTATTTTATCGGGATTTTGTGTAGTTGTCAGATTCAGTCGTACTTCCCCAGCAGTAAAAGTACTGTAGTGGTACCATGGTACAGAGATGTATTAGCTAAAGCCATAGAACCATGTCCAAAAACTATGCTAGTGCTATGTAGTTTTTTAAAGATTTTTTTTGTAAATTTGCAACTGAACAACATTTCCTCGATTAACCGAGCGTACAAGGTGTTTATTAGGATAAAATAGGATTTTAGTTTAACATGTATTCAATACATTTACATTAATTTAGCAAAGGCTTTTATCCTAAAACATAAAGGCCCGGTTTCACAGACAGGGCTTAGACTAAGCCAGGATTAGGCCATAGTTCAATTAGGACATTTAAGTAATTTTTATGAACGTACTTAGAAAGAAACATTACTGGTGTGCATCTTGAGATAAAACAAAGGCACTGATATATTTTAAGATCAGTCAGTGCAAGTTTCTTTCAGTTGAAACAGCTCAGACTTACATGTTAGTCTAGGATTAGGCTTAAGCCTTGTCTGTGAAACCGGGGGATAATATAATATCAGTCTGATACATTTTTCATACTGTTTTTTCAATGACTTTTAACAAAAGTACTATCCTTTAGCCTGTTTTTTAACACAAAATACAATTTGTCAAATCGTTTAATTAATAATATTGTTTATTAATAATATTTTTTTTTCAGTCTGTTGCCAATAATTAAAATAATATAATATCAGTCTGATACATTTTTCATACTGTTTTTTTTCAATGACTTTTAACAAAAGTACTATCCTTTAGCCTGTTTTTTAACACAAAATACAATTTGTCAAATCGTTTAATTAATAATATTGTTTATTAATAATATTTTTTTTTCAGTCTGTTGCCAATAATTAAAACAACAATAATAATTGTTTTTGTTTTTATTATTATTTTGTTATGGCTGACAACCAATTTGACTAACGATATTATAAATGTTTCTTGAAACAACATGCCTAAATTATGTGTTCAATTATGTTTATTGGGATGTTATTTCAAAATTATTAGGATTTTTGTTTAACATTTTTTCCATTACATATTTATTTATTTATTAATTTAGCAGACAGTTTTAGCCAAAACAGTAAATATGATTAGGCCAATAATAGAAGTGTAAAATATCAGGATTTACTTTTAGTTTTTCAAAGTCTTCTCTTTTTTTATTATTTGTTTTTATTTGTACATTATCTAGTTTTAATACCTGATTTAATGCATTTTTAATCTGAGATTGGAAACATACTGTAAAAAAACAATATATTTATATTAGTAAGTTTATTGGTAATCTGCATTTAAAATATTGGTTGTTTACTTCTGCATAGCAGCATTTATTTATCAGTGAAGCTCAACAAGTATGACATTGTATTTTTGTTCAGAAGTTAACAAAAAGGTCTTCTTCTAGTTATAGTGGCAGAAACGTCTTTGTTACATAAGTGAAGTTATATTATAATATCTAGAGTTGTGAGTGTTGTTCTCTTTGATGCAGATGTGTGTGATCACTCTTGTATAAATCTTAGAATAGTCTCTCATGGTCAAATCATGTGAAATAATCTTCTCTTTTCAGCCCGACCGAGGTGCCAAGAGACCCAGAGATGAAGACAGCCGCGAGGAGTCCAGAAGCAAGCAGAAGACGGCGGGCCGCGACACAGGACGGGTGCTGGTGAGATCAGAGCCGGACAGCGAGGAGCAGACAGGAGACGGGGAGAAGATCCTGGAGAGACTGATGGATCAGGATGGAGAAGATCCAGAGGTGAGATCAAACCAGAGTCATGGGGTTATTTTACGTGCAACAAGACCTCTGAATGCTTAATTATAAACACAAATGTGCTCTCTGAATATGTGTGGTGAATAACATATGTGACCCTGGACCACAAAACCAGTCTTAAGTGTCAATTTTTCAAAATTGAGATGTATACAACATCTGAAAGCTGAATAAATAAGCTTTGCATTGATGTATGGTTTGTTAGGATCGGACAATATTTGGCTGAGATGCAACTATTTGAAAATCTGGAATCTGAGGGTGCAAAATCTGGTGCAAAAAAATCTAAATAAAATAAAGAGAAAAAAACGCCTTTAAAGTTGTTCAAATGAAGTTCTTAGCAATGCATGTTACTAATCAAAAATTAAGTTTTGATATATTTACAGTAGGAAATTTACAAAATATCTTCATGGAACATGATCTTTACTTAATATCCTAATGATTTTTGGCATAAAAGAAAAATCTATAATTGTGACCCATACAATGTATTGTTGGCTATTGCTACAAATATACCCCAGCAACTTAAGACTGCAGTTCTTAGCCATGCATATTACTAATCAAAAATTAAGTTTTGATATATTTACAGTAGGAAATTTACAAAATATCTTCATGGAACATGATCTTTACTTAATATCCTAATGATTTTTGGCATAAAAGAAAAATGGATAATTTTGACCCATACAATGTATTGTTGGCTATTGCTACAAATATACCCCAGCGACTTAAGACTGCTTTTGTGCTCCAGGGTCACATATTACAGGTAGACTGTTTTATGCCAGTGTAATTTTATTTGATAAACGGTTTATTTAATAATGTATAGTAATATAAGTATTTCATGGTTTTCACAATGCACAGTGTTTCAAAAATATTGCAGTAATAATAATGTCTACTATTCTAAAGTCCTCATTTAACCATTCAATTAAAAGAAAGTTTTGTGATGGGGAAAAAGATTGTGATGGACAGTTATATAATCTACTGTTTAACCTGTTTTTTTTTTTTTTTTTAACAAGATGGTGGCAGAAAAATTTTAGAATTTTTATCATGTTAATGTAAAAAATCTTGTGTAATATAACTTGTTTGTTTGTTTGCTGGTTTTTATTGTATTTGTTATACTTGTATTTTTTTTAATCGTTTTTTTTTGCCATGAAAATAGCCTAAGATGCTGACATGGCATTAAATAAAAATATACTACTACTTAACACAAGACAGTTTTTTATATTTTATGACCTATAACCAATAATTGTTTTGTGTAATTTTAAATAATTCATTAGATTTAATGTTTAATATTTGTGTTTTTCTTGTGTCTTGTGGCAATAATAATAATTACCAATAATTATGACCAATAACAAATTTGCTAATATTTGAAATGTTTGCTGTTTGACCTGTTTTTAAACACAAAATACAGTTTTTCATATTATAACCAATAAGTATAAATAATTCTTTAAATGTATGTTTTAAATAATAATAATGATAATAATAATATATTATGGCCAGTAACCGGTTTGATTGCTAATATTGTAAATGTTTACTGTTTAACCTGATTTTAAACACACAATACAGTTTTTCATATTTTATTGTTTGTGTAATTCTAAATAATTAATTAGGTTTTTAATTAATTTATTCTGGTGTCAATAATACAATATTTATTATTTAAATATTTCTTGTTACCATTAATCTGTTTTTAACCAATAATGTTTTTTTTATTATTATTATATAGATGTGGTGTTATTGCCAGTATTAAAAATCTACACTGTTTTGCATATATTTTTTAAATAGCATTCGCACTAGATTCCAATCTAGAATTTTTCATGCTTAAATAAAAGTAACCATAAAAACATTTTAGTGTACTGTAGAAAAGGTGCATAACTGTTGATAGTTATGCACCTTTAGGTGTATAAAATAGTATTTTGAACTTGAAAAAAGCAGGTCTCATGCAATTCAGAGAATCATGACCTTTGACCTCCTGACCTGCTGTGTGTTGACAGGGTGAGCTTGTGGATGAGAGCACAGTGAAGAAAATGATCCTGACCTTTGAGAAGAGATCCTACAAAAACCAGGAGCTGAGGATCAAGTTTCCCGACAACCCCGAGAAGTGAGTTATTAAGAATTCACTCCACTTCTAAATCTCACCATTATATGGCAAATGAGATGCAAACAGTGAGATGTGACCTCACTTCCTGTTGTCGGCAGGTTCATGGAGGCGGAGCTTGACCTGAATGACATCATCCAGGAGATGCATGTCATCGCCACGATTCCAGAGCTGTATCATCTGCTGGTGGAGCTGAACGCCGTCCACTCTCTGCTCGGCCTCCTCAGCCACGACAACACTGATATCCTCAGCATCACAAACCACCAGAGATCATATTTGTGACCCTGGAGCACAAAAGCAGTCTTAAGTCGCTGGGGTATATTTGTAGCAATAGCCAAAAATACATTGTATGGGTCAAAATGATTGATTTTTCTTTTATGCCAAAAATCATTAGGACATTAAGTAAAGATCATGTTCCATAAAGATATTTTGTAAATTTCCTACTGTAAATATATCAAAACTTAATTTTTGATTAGTAATATGCATTGCTAAGAACTTCATCTGGACAACTTTAAAGGAGATTTTCTCAATATTTAGATTTTTTTGCTCCCTCAGATTCCAGATTTTCAAATAGTTGTATCTCGACCAAATATTGTCCTATCCTAACAAACCATACATCAATGGAAAGCTTATTTATTCAGCTTTGAGATGATAAATCTCAATTTAAAAAAAAATTGACCCTTATGACTGGTTTTGTTGTCCAGGGTCACATATTTCACATCATTTTTATGAAATATAAATCACAGTAATATAATAAGAAACACTAGTGCTCAAAGTAATGCTTTTAATATTAGTAAGTTAGTTAGATTAGTAGATGCTCTGTCTATTGGCATGTTTAAAATTTACTCATTAGATTTACATTTATTAATTTAGTAGATGCTTTTATGTGAAAATTATATCTGCCTAAATAATTGTTAATTTATCTTTTTTTTTTTTGTATCAAAATATTGAGGAGTATGCAAAATCTTATTAAAAGTATCAAATGTTTTGTAATACTTTTTGTCCAATTCTGGATTGGCAAATTTACTGTATAAAAGATATATTTATTTTAATATATTATTGTAAGTAATCATATTGGTAATCAGTCAAGAAAAATATTGGTTATCTATTTAAAAACTATTTAAAAAAAGAAATAGTTATTAGCCGTTAAAAAAACGGTTGGAAATATAATAAAAGCTGTTAGCAGTCATAACCCCAAAATGATCATCTAAACGACCATAATAATAATAATTAAAAAAAATTTATTAGCCATAACAACAAAAATATACACTACCTTTCAAAAGTTTGGGCTTGGTACAATTCAAAACTGCATTTATTTGATTTAAAATATTTCACAATATGGTTCACAAAATATATAATATTTAATATATAAAATGTTCACAAAATAGTACAAAAAATTTTGTAAAAACATTCATATTTTGAAATATTATTGCAATTCAAAATTAGTGTTTTCTGTGTGAATATGTTTTAAAATATGATTTGTTCTTGTGATCAAAGCTGAATTTTCAGCATCATTACTCCAGTCTTCAGTGTCACATGATCTTCAGAAATCATTCTAATATGGTGATTTGCTGCACAGGACACATTTATGATTATTAATAATGTTGAAAACAGTTGTGCTGCTTCATGATGAATAGAAGGTTAAAAAAACAGCATTTATCTGAAATAGAAATCTAAAAAAATGTAGCATTTAAATGTCTTTAAAAAAAAAATTACCGACCCCAAACTTTTGAGTAGTAGTGTTATTATATTGCTTATTGCACATAAAAATAAAAAAAAATCAGTATCTGCCAAATTTTCTCTGTTTAAAATGTGCTCATGTTTTGTGTTTAGCCGTTGGTCAGTGTTGTAAGTCCTTAACGTGAATCACATATCAGCATCGTGGTGGTGGATCTCCTGCAGGAGCTGACAGACATCGACACGCTTCACGAGAGCGAGGAGGGGGCCGAGGTGCTCATCGACACTCTGGTAAGGAAATATTTATGTAATAATCAGAGAAAACACATCATCAGTGGCGTTACAGGAGATTACGGGCTGATTCACCAGCGTTAGCGGGTCACGGTCCAGCGGCACTATGGGATTATTAGGAGAAAATGACACGAATTACTGCTGCGAGAAATGCAGCCTCGTATTTGTCCTGACGTTTGCAAGAGAAGCAGAGAGAGACAATGTTTATGTCCAGGCGGTTGTTGAGGTTGTGCAATCACGGCTTGTGTCAGATGGAGCAGAGGAAACAGGAGGAACTTGTGAACAATCAGAAGCTGATTGAACCGCATGCGCCTGATTGCTGCCGTTTAGTATTTGTGTTGTGCAGCCAAGCAAACGCATTTACACGTCTGAATAAATCTTTATATGGCATCTCAACAAACAGGCTATAAAATAGGGCTTTATGTATAAAATTATATATATATATATATATATATATATATTTAAAAAATCTTTTTTTAAATTAATACAATACATTCTATTTATTTTATTATGCTGATATGAATTTAATATATTATTTAAATGTATTATTTAATAATCTTTTTAATTCATTTATTAATTCCTTCCTTCCCTCCCTCCCAAACTACAAGCAACATCTAACCTGAATTTTCCAGGTTCACCATTAAAAAAATTTCAGAGATTTTTTGAGACCCTTCATAGCAAGTAAACCAGATCTTTATTAGCACATCTGTATATTTGTTTTCAGAGAAAATGATTTCAGATTTAGCCACCTCTAAATGAAAAAAACAAAAAAAACTTTATTTCAGCAGGAATGCATTAAATTGGTAAATTGGTACTTTTAAAATTGACAGTAAAATATTACAAAATATTTCTATTTGAAATAAATGCTGTTCTTTTGAACTTTTTATTCATCAAAGAATCCTGAAAAATAAAATGTATCACAGTTCCCACAAAAATAAGCAGCAACATAACTGTTTTCAACATTATTAATAATCAGAAATGTTTCTTGAGCAGCAAATCAGCATATTAGAATGATTTCTGAAGATCATGTGACACTGAAGACTGTAGTAATGATGCTGAAAATTCAGCTTTGATCACAGAAATAAATTACATTTTACAATACATTGACGTAGAAATAAGTTATTTTAAATTATAAAATTATTTCACAATTTTTACTGTATTTTTATCAAATAAATGCAGCCTTGCTAAGCAGATAAGACTTCTTCCAAAAACATGAAAA